GTTGTCGAGACTGAAGAACTCTTGAGCCTCGATTCCAATATATACTCCTATTTAGGTAGCTTCTCAAGTAACTTCTACCAACTAGGAAGCTTCTAGAAGGTTCCAGAGACTTGCTTCTAGAAGGTTCTAGAAACTTGTCTCTAGAAGATTCTAAGGACTATATCCCTAACATCTTCTACTAACTAAGAAGCTTCTAGAAGGTTTTAGAGACTTGCTTCTAGAAGGTTCTAGAAACTTGTCTCTAGAAGGTTCTAAGGACTATGTCCCTAACATCTTCTACCAACTAAGAAGCTTCTCAAGCAATTTCCATCAACTAGGAAACTTCTCAAGTAATTTCCATCAACTAGGAAGCTTCTAGAAGGTTCCAGAGACTTACTTCTAGAAGGTTCTAGAAACTTGTCTCTAGAAGGTTCTAAGGACTATGTCCTTAACAGATGTTTGAATCATATTACATCAATTTACATATCCTCAGCTCTACAATATAGAAGTAATGTATTTGTTGAAGTAGTAGAGTATAAATTTTTAATTTATTGTTATATCAAAGTTCACAAGTGTTGATCTTGATGGTGTTGAAATAATCAATTATATCACTTTATAACTTAGTTGATAGCTTCATTAAATATTTGAAGATCATATAATGATAGTAATAGGTCTTTTATATGATTTCTTAATCAATAGAATTGGTTCATAAGAGCTTGTTCATGTCAATTGATGTCACAAGTTAATTGCCTAAAATCAGATGTATAAATTGATGCAAAGTATGATTATTGATGTAATAAGCAAATCTTTGTTGTTGTTCATTGAGCCTTGTCATATTCTCCAAATGCCTCCACAAATGCTTCTAAGAAAGCTTCAAAGTTATTCAAGATTGAAGATCTCTTCTCAAATAAAGGAGCAAACTAAGATAAGGTTTTTTTTTATAAAAAAGGTTCTTACTAAATCAACTCATGATTCTTTTATTGGATAGCTCTCAAGTTGTAGAAAAATTACTAATCAAATTTGGTTAATAAAACCTTAGAACTTCGAGCATGTCCCATCAAACTTTTCTAAAAGACTAATCTAAGGCTCTTTAAGTTATTGAATATGTAAATTTTCTTGTTGAAGTACAAGTGCTACTGCCTCATTAGATATAGAAGCTTGAAAAAGTGATTGCATCTTAAGCTAATCTACTCTAGGTCTTGCATTACTATAAAATCTTACAAAAAATCTCTCAATTTTAGCAACTCTACAAGCTAAAGCATTTAGTGTGTTCATAATAACATCTAACTTAGACTCAAGAGATTCAAACATACTAACATCTTCACCTCCAACGATTTAAAAAAATAATAAATAATAAATAAATAAATAATATTAGTTTAGATGATGATACTCTACAACCTCTAAATTACGTAGATGCCTTCAAGAAGATAAGTAATCCAATCTTTATTAAAAAAAATCAAGCTTTAGTATTGATAAGAGGGCAATCATAATAAACTATCATAAATATATTATACAAAAGACCAAACAAGAAGTTTAATGGAAGAATTTCAACAAAAAATTTTATAAAAACTTGATTAAACTAGATGAGTACAAAGTCAATACCAAGAAAGATGAACTAGAACTTCAAGAGATGTGTTATTAAGATTGAAGATCCTTTCAAACTTGATTCTAATATATACTAGGTATTAGGAAGCTTTTCAAGAAGTTTCTATAATGCTTGAAGATGAAGCAACCCTAGTAAGCTTCTTAGACAACTTCCTTAAACTTCCTAAAATTTTTTAGAATCTACTAAAATATTCTAAGAACCTTATAGAAATCTTTTAAGAATCTTTTGAGAATATTTTTAGAATATTTTGAAACTTTATAGAATCTAATAGAATATTCTATAAATATTCTTAAAATCTTCTTATTAATGTCCATAATATTTTAAATAGTTATAAAATTAACTACACTTATATTTTTTTACTAATAAGTGCCTAATAATTGTTATAAGTGGAAGGATTTATTTTCTATAATAAAAATATATGTCAATTAAAATAATTAAATATATAAAATATTAATAAAATTAATTATTTAATTTATTTTTGAAAGATTACTTTTTATATTTTTTGGTTGAAAAAAAAGAAGTTAGATTTTTTTTTATTCTTTTTTATTTTATTTTATTCTAAAAAATTTATATTTTTTAATTAATATGTATCAATATATTTTTTTTCTTTCTTTCTTCAAATTCTTTAAAAAAAAATTATTTTATCCTTCTCTTCATTTGATAATTTGTATTATTGAGCTTTTGTTTTATTGAATAATATTATTTAAAATATATTAACTTATCTACTTCTTTTAAAACTTTGATTGTATATTAGTTAAAGATAGTCTTGTATATGTAAAAGTTTATTTTAAAATTTTAATTAAGATATGTTTAATTAAAGATCATGATTAAAGGTTTTAAATAAATTTATAATAATGTGATATGAATTACTATAAAAGTAATAATAATAATACTATAATATAATAAAATAATATAATATAATAATAAAATAATGATACTATTAGAATTATTAATTATACATTATGGTAATGATGAAATTATATTATTATTATAAAAATAATAATAATGATAAAATTATTATTTTTTTATAAATATGGTTTATAAAATAAAATAATTTCTTAATTTTTTTTATTATTATAGAATATCAAAAAATATTAAATAATGCTTTAGTAATTCAAAGAATGACATAAAGTTATATATACATATGTATATATATATATATATATATATATATATATATCAATTAATAAATCAATTAATTAGATAAAATATTTTTAGAACTACTTTAAATCAGATTCTATACACCAATATTTTTATGCAATTTTTTAAATTATGTGTTTAATTTAATATAAATATTTCTATAGATATTATAAACTAATTTTTATTTATTAATAGAGTAAAAATGATAACAATAATATTAATCCAATAACATAATAAATATAAATATGAAAAAATATAATATAATATGATGCAATATAAACAAAATCAGAGACTTCTTTTAAGACTATATTAAAAAAATTAAAGTACTATTTTTAAAACTATTCTTTAATAATATAAATATTATATTCCAAAAATAATTTTATTATTACTTTTTTAATAGATATATAGATAAACATAAAGGTAAGCTTTAGCTTTATAGTGGTGCATATTAAAATATAATATGTTATACATTTTCAAATAAATCCGTCATTCAAAAAACTTGACAATAAATATTGTTTAATTATCTTTTGTCTCGAATACTTTATAACACAGTTGACACACAAGTATACATAAATATTTGGCTAAAAATGATTTTGCATTCAATATAAATATCAAATTATAAATAAAATTCATGTTTATTTAATTATTAAATTACTAAAATATCATATATTAGAATTTTTAAAGTATAATATAATATGATATTATTTGCTTTATGGCTTTGTATTCTTAAATTGAATTTTTTATAAATAAATATAATAATTATCTATGTTTAATATTAAATATTTTTATATATTATATAATTATATATATTTATATTTATATATATGTACATATCTATTATTTAAATAATAAGAAATATAGAAATAAGTAGAAGTACATAAATATTATCTTTCTTAATAAATTTCAAAGAAATTACCAAGAGTTGGATTGTGTATTTAGACTTCTATAGATTTGCCTTGAAGGTATTGAAACTTGTCCAGTAAGTTTTTTTTACTTTTAAGTAGTTGCATTTGAAGGAATTTACAACTTGATGCTTAGGCTACAAGTCTTGAAGTTCTTTGGAAGCTTTCATAAGATCTTCTTGTAAGGTTGTATATGTAGAAGTATGATTAGAGCTATTTTTAGTCTTCTCAACACTTTTCTAGTATTCTGGTCTTAATCCTTGACTTTTTGAATTCTTTGAAAATGACAATATTTATTTAAGTTTTTTTTTAATCCTATATTCAATTTTTTTTATTTACTTTTTGCTATTTAATAATATAAGAGTATAATCTTATTCAAATTTTTGTTTAGATTTATATATATATATATATATATATACATATGCATACTCATAAAACTTAAGCAATAAACAATTTATTGTAGGATTCATGAAAAACATCTAATATAAATAATTGATACATGATATAAGTAAGTGATTTGAAAGTGTAATTTATAAAAAATCTTGTCATTCAATAAAAAAATATTATCTTTTAATATAAAAATTTATTTCTAATATTAAATGACTCATTTCTTATTCTATTTTTTTTTTGTTATAAAATTACCAAAATTTAATTTCTAAATTTTAAAAACTAATATATTTTGTGGAAATTTCTTTTTCATGCCTTTATAATATCTAATATACTTAAAAAATAAGAAAAAAAAAATCCTTTAATATAATTATTTCACTATTTTTTCTTTTACTCTTTAAGAAAGTATTAACTTTAAGTCTAATTTAAATTTATACTATTGTATAGTTTTGGAGCTCTACTCTTATACATAGAACTTTATTATGGTTTTTTTTATTATCAAATATGACAAAAAATGAGTTACTTCCTTGTCTTGTTTCTTTAATTAAAACCAAGTTTTTAAAACCATTGGGACCAAAAAGAGGGTTTTGAATGCAACAAATACACTTATTTTTATACATGCTTTGTAAAATTATAATAGCCAATTAAAAGAAATTTACAAAAGAATGAAAAATGGAAATATATTCTTTAAAAAACTGCAAATATGAAAATTTGACACTCTATATTTTTAATGTACTAAAAATAAATGAATAATAAAAAAAGCATAGAATCCAAAAGTATATAGGTAGAAAAGAAGGTTTTGTCTCCTCCCTCAACTTCAAGCAGCTTTAAGTACCCACACTTGGTACCAGTGGTTGGAAAATTGTGCAACCTCAACAATGGTTTAACACAAAAAAGATGGAACAAATTCAACCTTTAAATACTATTGATACCTGGGATATGATACCCGAGTACTTAAGCTTGCCGGTTCGTAAGACTCTCTAACAGCTTTCTCGATTGTCTTAGGTCGCGCGGATTTCAGCTCCGCAAATTCTCGAGGCTGCGTTTCGGATTCGAGGTTTTGTTGGTGATGGTGAATGTCATGATTTGTACCCTGCGGAAGGTTTTCTGTCAAGGCTATGGCAATTTTTGATTTCGCCATGGAACTTGTTGTACTCAGCGAAGCAGTTTGGAAGCCGTGAGACGTTCCGTGGAGGCTGTTCGGATTTTGGATTGCAAGCGTGTTCCCGGTTACTGGTTTGCTGTTAAGCGGATTGTGGGTGTTGCTGTCTAGGAATTTAGAGGGACATCATCGGCGTTTGGGCGTCATGCAAGGGGGAAAGAAGCAGTATGGTTTGCAGCTGCAAATCAAAGGGCCTCCGAAGAAGTTGACTGCTAGATCTGCGCCTGCTCCTGCTTTCCGTTTCATCGACGGAGATGACGAAGACGGTGTTGAAAGCGATATTGCCCGCCAGGCGAATAAAAAACGAAGTGTTCGAGAGGTTTGGCTTATTTGCCTTGCCCTTGCTTTGGAATCTGTTGTCGTGCTCTATTTTGGTTTTAGGGGTTGCTGACTCCATGCTTTATGAAATTGAAATAGGTCGAGCAGCAGTACCAAAAGGCCTTGGAAGAGGACCCTACGGCATTCGATTATGATGGGGTTTATGAGGAGATGAAGGGTAACCAAGTTCGCTCCATTCATGAGGATCGTGCAAAACGTGAGGTTGACGCCAATTCTTCATCCACTCCCTCCTTTTCTCGCTGGGTTTAGTCGTTAGGGTTTCCCGCACTTGTATTTTATGTTTTATTTGGCATGTGTGGGAATACCCGACGCGAGCGTCGAAACCTTTAGTAGCACGATGGTTTGAGTTATTTTTGGAACACATTAATTGTATTGATAAATATGTCATTTATGATGCAGCCCAAGTACATTGGAAAGCTACTTCAGAAAGCGAAAGAGAGATCTAGAGAACAAGACATAGTTTATGAACGTCAACTCGCCAAGGAGAGAGAAAAAGAAGATCACTTGTATGGGGACAAGGAGAAGTTTGTTACTGGAGCATACAAGAGGAAGCTCCAGGAACAAGCTAAATGGTTGGAAGAAGAACGTCGCAGAGAGCTGGAAGAACAGAAGCACGAGGTAGGCATGCTAAATCATTTCTCTCTCATGCTTTCTTCTGCAATTGCTGTTTACTTGCAGATAGACGTGAATATCTCTAGATGAGCGTCTGGTGATTTAGTAAGTTGTTACCACAAGTGGTTGAGGAAAATGGGCGTTGGTGTGTAATTAGGTCGATCAAGACATTGTCCTGTCTGCAGCTTACAGAATGGTCTCATTTACTTGTTCATAAATCTATTCAGGTGACGAACAAGAGTGATATGAGTGATTTCTATCGCAATCTGCTTAAGAGCAACGTTGCATTTGGCGCAAACAATACTCCCAAACCAGCTCAGAAGGACGCAGAGCTCCCTGGGCCACCATCACAGGTGGAGGATGAGACCAAGCCGTCTACGAGCACTGCTCCTGATGTTGACCTTGATTCTGGTTTAAAGAGGGAAGAAAGGCGAGAACAGTCACGGGACAAAGAGGATAAAAACTATGGGCGCAGAGGTTCTGAAATTAGGGACAGGAATGAATCTATGTCTCCATCAGCAAATCGATCACGAAGTAGGGATCGTGTTGATAGGAATATCGACAAGGATGATCTAAGGCCAAGCCACAAGGAGAAATCCGTAGTGGATACAGCACAAGATGAAGAAATTGGTGCTACGAAGGAAACTAAAATTAGTGAATCTAAGGATGTGAAAAAACCTGCCGTAGATCCAGTAGCTGCAGCTAAAGAGCGATACTTGGCTCGAAAGCGGCAACGCGGTCTGTAATTTCAGGAACCACAAACAATTCTTTGATCAAAATCTCTGCCAGTCCTAATCCTGGTATGGTTGACCGAACTGCCCCATCACAGTACTGCAACCGTAACCTTTCACCGAGCGGCACCATCCTAAAATACGCTACACCGTGAGTTGTAAGTACCCCTTCAAGTACAATTTTTCTACTGTGAACAATGGTTTTGAAAATCTGTTGACATCCCGTCGGCAGAGGGTTTTGTCAGGCTTCAGGATTAGAAACTCGTTATCAAGGGGTTTCTAGCCGCTGCTGAATCCCGGCTGAACTGAACAGAAATAACGGCTGTTCGGAAAATCAAGCATGGAGGGAGGGTAGAGACCCCGTTGCATGCAGAGGAGTTAGTGCCTTCTAATACCTTTTAGCCATTAGTACTAGTCGAATATGCAGGTAATTGCATATGACCACATGTGTTGAACAGTGTGGTGAAAATCCTGTATTTGTGTGATGACTTTCTAACTCATTTCAAGAATTAGGATGATGTAGTTGCATTCGAGTCTCCGCAATGTCCCTCTCCTCTTGTCACATGCCGCTGTGTGAGGAAATCTATGTAACAGTAATTCAGGGTTACACAAAATTTGAAAAGATCCTGTAATGAAAGTTTTTTGAGAATGGAATCACTTCCAAAAATTGCAAGGTATCATGCCTCTGTTTTTCAATGCTTGTTCAAATTGAGTAAATTGTGTGTCAACCTTGAAGAGGTTTTCAAGGTCTTTTCATGGATGAGAAACATTTCAAGTGTCTAGTATTCTTCTAGGCTGATCTTATGTCCAGAGAAATGAGCTTGAGATTCGTGTTCAATAAATCAGTAATATCAACAAACGCCACTTCAGCTTTGCAATAATATTGTCATACAGCTTTTTGCCAAACCACTGCCAATTGGTTCGCACGAACTTGGTCTATGCAGCACTAAGATTAGACAAAGGTAGTACAAATTTCGGATACAAATATATAAGTTGGAGCTGGGGGAGTGGTAATAAAGTTATATTAATCTTGGGTTTGAAGCACCGAAGGTGTAAGAACACGCTCCCGATGGCTTTCTCCGTGACATTGCTACAAGTTTTGTATTCACTGGCCGCGATTCGACCTCAGTAACGCTATCCTGGTTCTTCCCCTCTCTATGCCTCAATCCTTAAGCTGAAGCTAAGACCCTTCTTTCACAATTGTGGGTGAAGCGCCGAAGTCCCGTCGCCTTACTGTTCGTAGGTTTTCATTGGATTCGTCTGCATTAAGCTGCACTGTGGGTGTAAAATGTCGTGGAAATCTTAATTCGAATGAGAACCTCCTACCAAAGAGGTGTAGTCCCAAGGCATTCAGGAGAAGCGATGACGACAGGTAACGAGATATTCAAGTTTCAGGGCTTTTTCTGTCATTTTGTATAGCATACTATATGCAATGTACGGTAGAAATTCAATGTGTTTGTGAGACTTGCGTTTCCAGTACTGTTAAATGATACAGCAGGAGCTTACGTGAAGATGAATTGCAGAAAGTCTCGACAATTAATTCTCTCTCCGAACCTCGACGATTCTCCGTGCATGCGGTTGGACGAAACTCTGCCAATCTACTTATCACTAACTTTAGATCTCATAATAGACTTTTAGTCACACTCTAAGCAGCAGCTATCACAAGACACTTGATGTACATGTTGCTGTTAGACACATACACACATCCTCTTGAATGTCAAGCTACTCTGCAAATGCTTGGATGGTTACAAAAACTATTGCTTTGCAAACGACACCCCAAGAGGTACCTTGTAACTAAAACACTAACGCAGGTGTTTACGAAGAAAGTACTTGCAGTAGCTGTGGTATTTGGGCTACTGCAGCATGAGAAATTTCGCCTTTCTCATAAGTTTATTCTCTTGTCCGCTGATTGCATGGGCAACAGGTGTTTGCAGAGTGTACAATCGTCCACATAACGTGCTCTCTGTCGACTCCATCGGACAAAACATTCTTATGTGCTTGAAGGTGCATCAGATACGACACTGTTCGAAGGACTTCCAACTGCAATGAGAGGAATCTGCTTTGTGGAGCCAAGCTCACAGTCATCAATCCCAAATAGGTGGTGTCTCACTGGATTGAAGTTAATAGGCTGGATAGCTTTGGGTAAGACACCAAGAAAGAGCCTTAGACAAAGCTGCTGAAAAATGTACCAGCTGCACCATGTCAACTCAAAACATCCCTGTTATACCAAATCCCAATTAATGCCAATAAACTTGTAACAAAATTTATTCTGCCACATTGCGCTTACAGAAGTTTTCTATAGGAGAATCTCCACACAATCAAGTCGACATTAAAATGTTCCATACTCGTACAGCTGTACACACTCTTGTATCCACTCAATCATAGCTATGTTTCCCAGCCCCCAGTTTCATGCGAAGGATCTAATCTTAATCCTTGCAATATCTCGTTGAGAATCTTAAAGCCATCGCCTGTATAGCAAAATTCGCTAGCCTCTTTCTCTCCCTTCACTCAAAAAACAAACATGGCACCCAAGAGACGGAAGCCTACTCTCAATAATCTCCATAACTTTGCCTCCAAAATCTATCTTCTGACAAAAATTGGGCTTTAGACTAGAATGCTGAGAGATTTTCCTACCTATCATGACGAGAAAGCCGCGCGTCTTGTTGAGCTGGAATTTAACATGCGCTTATAGGCTTGAAAGATCCGATGAAAATTCAGTACTGCTAAGTACTCGCCGAGATCCACAAATCACCTCGTCTTGGGAGGGTTGGGGACATTGCACAAGCAAGCACAATGTAGATTTGGGTTGAGGGACTCGGTGGGATTTATTACAGTTGTTGTGTTCGCCGGATAGAGAAAAAAGAAAAACACAGAAAGCAAAAAAGTGTTACTCCAGCTAAGGCTGCATTCGGGCTAATCGGATATCTGTCAACAACAGCCGTGTGAAGAACGCCGTTTCTTCAGGATTGGCAACCCATAATATGGAGCACTGTGAACGAGTAGCCATATCATTCCCGCTCACCGTGAAGCGATCTCCGACGTGCAACGTTTCATGCGGTTCCTTGTTGAAAAACTTTATGAGAGCTCTGAGTCCGACGGATTTGTTTCCGACGTCGACGAAGACATCGTTTCCGCCATTGAAAGCACAGAAAGGAAGCCGTGACCCCATCAACTGAACTTGGACCGTCAAAGCCAACTCTTCCAAGACTTCGTATATAGTCGGCTCTAAAGGAACTGCACCGACAGCCCTCGGCTTGCGAATTATCTCAATTGGAACGCGTAACCTCGCAGCTGCCGATCTTAACGAGCACTCGGCGTCGGTCAGCAATTCATACACATCAATTTCTGTCCATTCGAGCATGTCGGGCGACATCCACACTTCGTCAGGCACAAATTCGAGCCTATAATCCTGGTTTACCCTCAGAAGATAGTTGCATTCCCCGCCCATAACGTGAAAAAGCTGCGTGATGGTGGGAGGAAGGCGAAGGTGCTTGAATGCTTCCAGGAGTCCCGCCAACCGATCCTCGAATTTGGCAGCGTTGCCGGGATATCCAGCCGCCGTAGCAATTGCAACGTGAACACCCTGTTGCATGAGCTTGATAATAAGTCCTATCATCTTGTTGTCCCCCCCAATGTGGTGGCCATCGGCGTATATAGTCCCATCTGCATCGAATGTGATCAGCGACAACTTTTCGGCAATGGCATGCACCTGGGCAATATTGAGAACATGCCTGAGTTCTGCAAAATTGGGCGGTACATATCGCCGTCTCGAGAGTGACGCAAATTCATCGTACTCGTAGAATGCACGAACAAGAGGCAAGGGCGTGTAACATCTTCCAAGAGTGGGGATGAGCCTACTTAGCGTACTCCTTTTCGGATCCTCCACATGCTCTCGCACCCATCGCTCAAGCTTTTCCATCACTTGAAATGAGGAGTGCGTGGAATGCATTGAGATAATGAATTCAATCAGGCCGTCTTGCTCTTTGAGCCGCCCTTTCCGGCGCAGAACGTGCGCATCCGTGACACTAGAAGCTCTGTTGAGATGCGCATCCTCCAAGGCTTCAGTGCTGAGCAGCATGTTCCATCGCATCCCTCCCTTGCTGTCCGCTTGTGGTATTTTAGCCCCCACTCCTACATCGCTCGGCAATACAAACGTCTTCGAAATACTGCCATTCTTTTCTACATTTTCAGAAGCTCCTCCTGACTTAACTTCGGTGGATGGTGCCTCGGACTCCACGAATTCTCCTTCTCTATTCCCACTGCGTCCAGAATCGGGATTCACAAGCACACGCTCGGTGATTTGTTTCATGTCACTGCTAGTTGCCTGGCTTTGTGAATCCTCACTAAGCTCTAATCCACCATTTTCATGCGTCGCAACAACAGCATACCGCTTTTCAGAAGTTGGCCTTTCTGCCACAACGCTGCAATGTAACAAGAAACTCAGCTTCAAAGCCTTAGAAACGCATCGTGTCTCACTCATCCCTCCGAGGGTCCTCCCACACGCCAGCGCCGGCAAACTAAGATAAGAATAAATCAGCGCACTACCATCTAAAGCCTTAGTTAAACCCCTGCCAGGTCCTTCAGCCGCCCTGGTACTAAAAATATTCCCGGAATTTGTATGCCCCCCAAGCTGCGAAGGCAGAACACCCTGTCCCCAAGTCTGAGCAAGAGGAGACAGCCCTCCCACTGAGGCAGGCGGCGCCATGCCAAAGAATCTGTCACCACCCCAGCTCTACAGAACAAAAGAGCAACACACAGCAACAGCACGAAGAAGACGACTAAGGAAAACGAGATGCTGCACCCTCCAAACACGCAAAAGGAAGTAATGGAAAGATTAGCGATAACACACGAGAAGAAATATTCTAGCAAGCTAGCAAAGATGAAAACGGAAAAGTTGAATGTGCATGCACGCTGGGAGGGGAGGAAAAGAATTCGAAGGACAGGTTGAAGACGCCTCGACTGTGTCTCTACAAGAATCTCTCATCAACTGGTTGGGCGTGTGCGGATGAGATGGTATTGTTTGGTCCGATGGATTTCTGCTGTGCCATTGTGCGACTGCAACAGATTACGTTGCTGCGATAGATCCCCACGAGCAACGAAGTAGCCGATGAACACATGTTTATCTCCCGTATTTCCTCAAACCCTTCATCACTAACCCGACACTTCCAAGAGAAACATTCATCTGCATTGGAATCTGAGACCATCCTGGATATTCTGCCTGGGCATAGATTAATGGTTATCGTCTCTGCACTTCAAGAGCTGGGCATGGGGACAATGAAAATGTTCCTGATAAAATATATTCATTATATGAGATGCAAGAATTACATATATAAATGAGATGCTTGCATCCTGTGGTGAGGTGAAGCGTCCCACCTCTTAATTACTAATCTAGGTAATCTAGGTTACTAGTTAATACCCCCCTTAACCTAGATCTAGATTAAAAAAACTAAATTTATTTAATACCCATTAAACCTAAACACTTAAAATGTTTGGGCTTGGATAAAGACTTGGTTAATACGTCTGCAACTATTTTCTTTAGGTTCATTAGGACTCATTTCCGTTATTAATTTTGCTCCTATTTCTAAAGGTGTAGATGCCGGTTTACAATCAAACATATTAAATCTTTTAAGGATCTTTACAGGGTACTTATTTGAGATATTGATAGAAACTTATCTTTTTCTATTTCTTTCTATTACCATAATTGAACATCTCTCGCCATCTTCTATTGGACCCTTGTTTGTTATTTCAAAATCCACCTTAAGAGTCCTTTAGGTTTGATTGTGAAAATGTAAGTTATGCTTACTATTATACAATATAAAGCAAAAATAATAAAATGTTGATGCATTGATTCTTTTTAAATATAAATGTTGGTATCTATAATTCCCCAAATAAATCCATTTGCAATAAGATATTCATCAATTTGTTCATACCACATGTGTGTAGATTGTTTCAATCCATATCTGGATTTGGGTAATTTGTAAATCATATGTTTAGGTTTGGAGTTAATATATCCCTCTCGTTGTGCCATATACGTATCTTTGAAAATGTAACCATAAAGAAATGCAGTCTTTAAATCCATTTGATAGACATGAAGATCGTAAATTGTAGCTAACAATAATAGAATACTTAGCAAAGTTATTTTAACCACTGGTCAAAAAGTTTCATCATAGTCAATTCATTTTTCTTGAGAAAAACCATGAACTACTAATTTTAACTTCGTATCAAATGATTATACCATGTGCATTATATTTTCGCTTTAATATCTATTTACAACTACCTATTGATTGCCTTAGAGGTAAGTCTGATAATATCCATGTATTATTGTTCATCAAGGAATTGAATTCTTCATCCAATGCCTCTTACCATTTTTCACCATCAATACTATTAAAAGCTTCATGAATATTAGATGGTACATCTGGATGTGGTAGTAAGGGTGGATAATTTTTTAAGTATTTTGTATACAAAACGTACTCATTATATTTGGTAGGCATTTTTATCTTGTGTTTTTCTCATTGGGCGTTTTGTAGTAGTTGAAGGTGGGAGATAGAGGATTTAATATAATATGATCAAAGTCATCATCATCTAGAAGTGATGATTTTGATACATTTAGTATATCAAAAAATATCTTTTCTCTATCTAATTCGCTATATATATGAATGTCAATAGCTAGAGGGGCACTTCAGGACATAGAAAGAAATAGTCTTGGTGTCAAAAAAAAAAAAAAAAGAAAAAAAAAGAAAAAAAAATCTAGTGAGGTTTAATTATGATGGGTTTGAAGATTTTTTCCAAATTCAACAAATCTAAGTGGCAAAGTGATTCTTCAAATTTATGGAAGCCTTCAAATGCAATAGAAGCATCAAATGCACCATGTAGAGTGAAGAAAACAAGATCAGCACCCTTTCCTTCAAAGTACAAGTAAAGAAATGAAATTCTCATTTTTTGAAGAATTTTACAAATATTGCCTAAATCCTTGTAAATAAAAAACCTTCATAATAGTTGCAAAGGAGCATAGATTGATGCATGTGAGTAATCAATCTTAGCATAAAAAGGTGTTTTAAACACAATGGTAAAGTTAGATTTATCAAAAAGCATTTTTTTTTTCCTACTTACAAGAGCCATCAACCTTGGTCACGAAATTAGCTCTTGGATGAAAGAAGGCCATAGATCTACATTATGGATCTTAGAGGTCAAGGGTGGAGATGTGGCCGCCCTTCCACAAGCCACCACTCAATTATATACGAGTGGTTTGATTTCCCAAGCCTCTCTCTCTCTTTCCTTTTTGATCAGGATGAAACCATATCAAAGTGTGGTCTCAATCCTAACCCTAATCTTAATTTATTACTTCTTTCTTGATCTTAGATCTCATTGTGAACTTTAGGAACATATGAGCATTGATTTTGTGTTGTGGGTGGTGCTTGTTGTGGTTTAAAAGGTGCCCCTTTGCAATTAGTGGTCACTAACCATTTCCATAGTCAAAAGGGTTTGACGGGCCTCGGATTTTCCTCAATGAGTCTGTGGTTTTTTATGATTTGTAAGTGAATATTTTTCATCAAATAGCCCTTGTTATTATCTTTCCAACGAGCTATGGCCTTTTTAATTTGGAGTTAAACCAAAATTTTGGTGAATTTTTGAATGCAAGGGGGCGGCTGCCTTGGCAGTTTCAATAATCCAAATTTGAAAAGGCATTCCTCAGTGCCAATTAATGGGATCATTTTGAAATTTCGGGAGTACAAGAAACTTCAAATTGAGCTTCTATTGGCATAAATTTCATTAAATTTGAAGCAATTTTGAGTTTTTAACGAATTTTTGAGTGAAGGGGGGTGCTTCCCTCAATCCTTGGACGTTGTCAAGATACTTTTGTTTGTACCTCTCTTTATTTATTTATTTTTTCTTTTATTTTTTTTCATGTTATTTTTTTTCCAGTAACTTATAACTTATACATTCACTTTTTTCTTTAATTTTTAACTTTTAATCTTCTCTCTTTGTTTTTTATTTTATTTTTTAACCTTTATTTTATTTTTTACTTTTACTTTTACTTTTTAAACTTTACTTTTAAATTTTAACCCAACCTTAAAAAAATTTATAGTTACTATGGATTAAAGATAATAACTTAATTAATTATTTTTATTATCAGTTAATTATGAAGTAAAAATTTATATACTTTTTAAAAAAATAAAAAAATAAAAAATATTAAAAATAAATAAAAAAGACTTAATAATAATAATAATAATAAATAAAATAAAAAATAAAATAAAATTATCTAATTATAAGTAAAAGAAGTAATTATTTTGCATGAAGTTAAGGAGTGAATTATCATTGTGAATGTGAGTAATGTTAGAAGATTTGATTAATAACTTGGTATTTTAAGAAGGACAAGTAATAAGTGGATTATAATTTAAATAATAGCTTTATATTAAATTCACATAATTAATTCACTTATTATGAATTAGAATAAACTTCCAATTAATGGAGGTTTATTTTAGCTTACACCAAATCATATCTAAAACCTAAACTTGCTGATCTTAGCTTCTAAAGCTCAAATGGTTCCAAAAGAGAAACCGTAATCTCTAATAAGGCCTCGGGCAGCCTCCTTGAAGTCCATTAGACATGACATTTGACTAATAGGGATGAAGATCTTCACTTCTTCCCATCATCCAACCATACCTTGCTTTCATCCTTTTCAACAAGCTTCATAATAGTTTAGAATTTCATCTTTAGACTCCTACCTTCTCTTAAGCTTTATACTAAATATCTAAATCCTACATAATATAAATTCTATAATCAAAATAAATAAACCTCTAAATATATTTTCTTATATCAATTCTCTTTAAATTTACTTATTAATCACTTTAATCTACATCAAGACTTACAAATATAATATAAGTTTTAATTAATTTTTACATATTATAAGCAACTACAATATAACAACAAACATATATATTTACTATGATATTTATTTATATGATTAAATAGAAGTAGATAAAAATAGATTTATTTCATAAAATTTTATAGAAAAGCTTTGGAAGATTGGTATCAAGATTGGAAAAGGAGGCTGATCAATATCCAAGCACATTTTTGAGGTTATTGTCAATTTGGTAACTTCAATCCTTTTCAAATTTATTTTGCTTTTTTGAAATTTAGTTTTTAAGAAGTGTGAAAAATTTGAGTTAAGATCAATGGTTTATTCATTAGTTATTGAGGTTTAAATCTGTTGTAGGAATTACTAGGGATTGGTTTAGGATTTGGTTAAGATTTGATTAGGATTTGGTTAGGATTTGGTTAGGATTTGGTTTAGGATTTTTTTTAAGGTTTGATTATGGTTTGGATTAGGGTTTGATTTAGGATTTAGGATTTAGGATTTGGATTAGGATTAGGGTTTAGGATTTGGATTAGGGTTTGGTTTAGGATTAGGATTTAGGATTTGGATTAAGATTTGGTTTAGGGTTTAAGGTTAGGATTTAGGATTTGGTTAGGATTTTATTTAGGATTTAGGATTGAGATTAGGGTTTGGTTTAGTATTTAGGATTTAGTTGGGATTTGGTTTAAGGTTTGTTTAGGATTTGATTTAGGATTTAAGATTTATTAGGATTTAAGATTTAATTAATTTTGGCCTAAAGTTTGAATGAAGTTCAATAGGATTTTAACTAGAATTAAATTGAGATTGAATTGAAATGTATTTGAATGATATTCGTGATCCTTTTAATATTTCTTTAAGAATTCTTATTGTTTGTTTGAAATTTCTTTGAGGTTTTTTTGAATTTGATTAAGCTTGCTTAGCATTATTATGATCTAATTAGAGCATTGTTAGTATTCTATTAGAATTTGGATATTGTTATTACAATTTCCATTCTTCCATCCACAGCTAGGTGTCCGGAGCATTCTCAAGTAAGACTTCACATATTTCGACAACGTTACTTTGATTTTACATGTATTTATAATTTATTAGTAGGATTGAAATTTGCTCAATAAGTTAATCATATATTGATAGCTTGCACAATAAA